TATTCACATTCCCATAATATCCCAGGAGTAGCACAGGGTATTTGGAAGTTGAGTCATGGCAATGGGACTTCTGTCTTATTAGGTTGAAACGTTACATTTTGCTGCTTATCCAAGTAGCTTTTTCAGCCTTGGGAGAGTTGGTAGGAGACCCCTGATATATCCTCCACATTGGTTTCACTTTCCCCTGGTCTAAACAGGCTTGTTAGATGGACAAAACTGAGGGGGGGGGGGAAAGCTGGAGTTAAAATCCTAGCTCTACAGTCCTTCTCCACCCATTTATTTACAATAAACTACAAATATCCTCTTGCATCATTCTGTTTAGATATCTCTCCCTGACCCCTCTCTCAAACTACAATCAGCAGTGCTCCTTCCTTTGAAGGACAAAGGACACTCATTTGATGACCAAGATGTACTCATTTTGGACCAAGAAGACAGGTGGTTTGAGAAAAGGGTCAGGGATGTCATACATGTGCATATAGAAAATCCCTCAATCAACAGGGGTGGAGGCCTTAGACACAATCTGCCTCCTATTTATCATGCTGCCCTTCCATCTGTCCCCAGAAAGATCAGGACCACACCCATCAGAAAGACCAGTGTTAATGACTGTTAGCGACCCATGAAAACGGGTGGAGAAGGACTGCAATCGTGGCATTTTCACTTAAGCCCTCCCGTCCTTTGTCCATCTAACAAGCCTATTCAGAGTAGAGGGAAGTGAAACCAATGTGGAGGATATATCTGGGGTCTCTTGCCAACTCTCCTCAGACTGAAGAAGCTACCTGGGTGGTTAGCAAAATGTTTCAACCTTATAAGAAAGAAGTCTAGTTGGCATGACTGTACTTCCAGATAACCTCATCTAGATCACTGAGAATCTTCAGATAGTATAAAGAGTATTGTGAGAATATGAATATGGATGGCTTATAAGTGCCCATCTCAGGTCCGTCCCCCGCAAATCTATTTTACACTCAAGAAAACAGTGTTAGCCAGTTTAGGCTAAGTCTTGGCTGAACTCGGTTTTGAGTCCAAAATCAATATTGCAGCTTTTATGTGATGCTGGCTCTTGCTGACAAGCTAGTTTTGTGTTAATTCCTGTCTCTTTAAAATAACTTTGTGTTCTACTTTACTCTAGTTCCTAAATGTTTGTGATTAACTTTCTCAAATATAATCACAGTCATGAACAGTCTTGAAAAGCTTTGTTGTCAAAGTTTTGTGAAATCAACAGATGGATGAGGAGGACAACCCATTATACTTGCAAGAGCTGTCTCGTTATTGGCATTTGTGCTGGCCTTTCAATACACAAGTGATGTGGGATGGGACTTAAGAGCCCAAGAGAATATACAAGATAGTATTGTCTAGACACTATCACATTCCCCACATTTCCCTGTAGTTATTGTTGCCAGAAAGTGAGAACTAAGCCTTTTAAATAATGCTGGCAAATGGACATGGCTTCAGTCTCTCTGTTCCCTGGTGAGCCAGGAGACTAACTTCCCTTTAATCAAAGCCACTAGAGAGATGGCTATAGAAAAGCTGCCATTTTACACCCTTTATCCTACCAAATCACCAATATATACTATATGTACTCTCTGTCTCAAGTGGAACTGCAAACACCACATTTACTGCTAAGAAAAACTTTGAATTCTCAGCATCAATGACAGCAGCACTTACATTTGGTTACTCTTTCACACACCGTCAGTTGCAATAAAAGTACTGCACCACAGAAATACTAGTAGACAAGGCACACAGTGTTATCCACTGCCAATGTTATTTTCTCAAACCCATCTCTCATCACAAGGTTCTAAAAACTATACTATCTATATTCCCTACATCAACACCTGTGATTCCTCTGCTAACTTCTTTCATTCTTTCTTTCCCCTTGTGACGGAATGCCCACGTCACTCCTGTCCATCATATGGAGCTCAAGAGCAGGAGCCTATGATAGGACAGGAGGGGTGTTGTTAGAGGGACAGTTAGAGAATTAGAGAGAAAGGGAGAAATAGGGTATGGAAGCTAGAGAGAAAGGGAGAAATAGGGTATGGAAACGAGAGAGTTAAGACAGAGATTGGAAACTTGGAGTGTTATAGAGAATAAGAAAGAGTTAAAAGGAACAGAGAATAGGTAGATGATTAAAGAATATTGTTAAAGTGGTTACTGTGAATAAAAGCACTTACAAGTAAATGTGTAATCAAATCCAATTTAATGAATGATCCTCAACAACTGTGATTCTCATCTCAACTAAAAGATCAATAAACCTGTTGAATTGGTAGCATGTGTCTGAGATACATATACAGTGGTGCCCCGCATAGTGAGGTTAATCTGTTCCAGATTAACCATCGCTATTCAGAAACATTGCTAAACGGAATAGGGTTTTTCCAGTGGGCCCCAAACTCACCGTTTAGCGATGTCCCTCCATAGCGCAGGCATTTTCGCGCCCTTGGTAAGTGTGGGCAGGATGCAAAAACGCTGCGCGCAGCCATTTTGGGTCTTCCGGTGGCCATTTTGGAACCACTAATCAGCTGTTCCCCCGACATCGCAATGTGAAGATCGGTAAGTGAAACGCTTACCGATCGTCGCAAAGCGAATTTTGCCCATTTGTTACCATCGGTATGTGATCGCATTAGCGATCCCAAAAAACGGATCGCTATGCAAATTCGTTGTTAAATGGTGCACTCGTTATGCGAGGCACCACTGTATTTGATACAGTGTGGACTAGATCCCCTGGTGGCACCGTAAAAAGAGGCAACACATCCAGAGGGTGGACCTGTGTTTGGGGAGAACAAACAAGGGACACTGGGGGGACGCAACACCCCTCCTGAGGTTTAATTGCATCTTCAACACCATCTCCACCACCCTTCTATCTCTTCCCCCTTCCCCATCTCTGCTCAGACCTGGTGTCTGTTTTCTGTCTTCTTGAAGAAATTCTACAAGACCCTAAAACAAACATAGGCTTAATTACAGCATGTAACCAATGAACATTTGGAATAGCGATGATGAACTTATGGCACGCGTGCCACAGCTGGCACGCAGAGCCCTCTCTGTGGGCACGCAAGCCATAAGCCACCATCAAGAAATACTTACCCATCCTCTGATCCCAGATTTTGGGAAGAACTCTTGGGAAGGAAGGGAGAGCCAGGACTGCAACAGTACACACACACACACACACACACACACACACACACAAATGTTAGGCATGGAAACACCTGCCTCCTGCCACCTGCACCTTTAAGGATTGGAGCCGGAGGTGGAGTGGGGAGTATCCCAGGCAGGCGCTGGAAGTCCCAAGCAGGAGCTGTGCTGGAGTGGGGAGTGTCCCAGGCAGGCGCTGAAAGTCCCAAGCAGGAGCTGTGTGGCCAGAGGAGTGGGACTCTTTGGAACAGTCATAGTTGGTTTTGTGTTGCAATTTGGGCACTAGGGCTCAAAAAAGTTCACCATCACTGATCTTGTTAAGATATAAACAAGTGTAATGACTTTCAGTGTACTTATCAAAGTACCATGCCCTAAGTGTACTATACATTCCATCCTAGTTAATGCTGAAAACAAAGCAGGTCTAAAATTATTTTGATGCCCTTTAGCTTCAGAGCATGCTTCCCTGATTCCAGATTTCTGAAACTCTTTCTATACGTTTTTATCCTTAAAAGTGCTTGCAAAACTCTAACATATTTTGACTGACTACATCAACTCAGGCTACTTAATGGTTATTGTCAATAAACCTTTTAACAGAGTTCTTCTTACCGTTTGCTGTAAGTCAGGTATTATAATCCGTATCACTAATGTGTTGTTCTGGCTGTCTTCCATTCTGTTGCTTGGTTTTTCTGCCGTAGCCCTGATAGTATCATAAATGGTTTCTTCTTTGGAGCTGTCTGATTCAGATTCCATGGAATAATCCGAAAAACTCTGAGCCATGTCATCTTCACTTGATGTTGGACTGCGGGGCATGTTCAGCACCTCTTACTGCATTTAACTGGGCGAGAAAATTATAGAGGCAAAAATTTGAATGTAGTTCAACAAACAGAAAAGTATGGGGATTTTAAAATGCTTTTCTTTTATCTGCTCCAAGTTAATTTTAAGAGACAAACAGTGGCAACTGCCCTGAGGTATTAAAACATTTGCAATTTAGTAAAATATGTAAATGAATATCAAAAAGTTTCTTTTCTGGAAATTTTTGCTAATCTTTGGGGGAACCTGCATATCAACAGGAAGATCACCAAAATTCTGTCTCATACACAGTGCAAATTAGCTTTTGGACTATCACATGCTCATGGAAAAACACACAACAGCAGACGGAAGCAAATGTAATACCCATGTGTATTTCAAACTGACTTGTTATAAGAAGGGAGTGCAGTGTATATAATACTCATCCTTTACCAAGAGCTGGCTATGCAAGTACACATTCTCTTTTTAATAGCTATCAGAAAAAGCAACTCAAGTCAAGCACATCAGCTACCTCCTAGGTAAAACTGTATCATTCGTTCTATCAATAGACAGCTTACATTTCACAGGCTAGTGCAGACTACCAGCATTTTCTCCAGGGAGTTATGTCATGAATTAGTTGCATACTCTTAGGCAAGTGGCAGAGGTAGCCTCTTTAAGACATTTTGTGAATATATGTGGCAAGGGAAGGGAGAGTGTGGTGGTAGTCCTCTTCCTACACATTCATTTCAAAGTCTACATAATCAGTATGCCTCAACAATTCTACATGAATAAGGTCTATGCAGACACTTAGCGTTACCATGCATAAGTCAAAGATGAAGGCAGATGCCATAATCCTGCTCCTTCCTCCCAAATCTTCATGGAACAACTACATCAGACTCTTTCCTCCTTTTCGCGCTTTTTTCTGAGATGTGAATTATAATTTTATTTATTTACTTTAATTGTATCATTAATAGACACCTTTCTCCCAGTAAGGGGACAAAATTATAATGAATGAATAACCTCGTAAGATTTTTCTGAAGGCAGACAAAATAAATAATATAAAAGTAACTGCAGCAGTTATTTGCCATGTACTGAAATTTCGCCAATATTATAAAATGGTGCACACCTGTAACAGCAGTTTCATGCATCCAAGAAATTTTGTTATATATTCAGTGATCCCATGGGAAGCATCACCTTTAAAAATGTGATATTGATACTTCAGATAGACTAATCCCACACATAATAATAAATGGTAAAATATTGCTTTAAAATATGATGTTTCAAATACCAACTTATGAGCGCTTTCCTTTAAGAGCAATCCTTGAGGGAGTATTTCATTTCATGTTCTTTTGCTTCACAGAGCTGTAGATTTACATCTCTTGAAAGTACCTTCAGTCAGTAAAAAGAACAAATACTGTGCCAGCTTTCCTCTGATGCCAGCTTCACAAATGAAAATTCCTATGATGTACTGGGCAAAAAGATGTCCCTCTCTCCCACCCCAAAATAAACTCTTCAAAAGGAGGGTGTCAGAAGATATTTAATCAAACATTTCTCAGCCAGTATTTCAATAGATGTGCCAGTGAAAGCTTGGGTAAATCACATTTGCACAATCCTGAGTTATCCAATATTAATCAACTCTATAAACATTATTAACCATTATCACTGTTAGTAACAAAAGCTGTGAAGGTTCTGTAACAAGTATCAGGATTTGAAATTGCACATTTCAACCTTTTTACCCATTTAGGGCTCACAATGGTGCAAACTGGCCCAAAATTTCTATAATGCAATTAAAATAATTTAGGAGAGCACCAATAAAAAGATGGTTTATGAAAAATCTTTGGGAGGGTTAATGTGGAGAGGAAACGGATAATACATCAGCTGCTTTTTATTCATATTACTACTGCAAACAATGCACGCTACAAAGGAAATTAAAGCTAGGTATTTACATAATCCAGTTTTTGCTTTGTAGGAATAAAGAATTTATATTTTGTATTATCTGAAAAATAAAGATAGAAATAATTATATTGCGATATATATGTATACTCTATCGAGGCTCATTTACTTAAGTTAGTGCAAATGGAACACAGTGCATCAACTTTGCACTGTTAAACCTGGTGTGCTTAAAATTAGTTCTACCCTATTTATTTATAATTGGTAAATAATTCTTCATTTAAAAAGCATCCCAACCTTCTGAATTTTTGTCTTCCCCATCTAGAAAAAGCATACTATCTTCCAAATTTCGGCTCTCGACCTCTGACTATTCTTAGATACGCAAATATCAGAACAGCTTTAATATACTGGCAGGCAAAGTGAACGAGGGAATTAAATAACATTTCTAACACAGGGGGACCCACAAGGACTTATGTAAGTTATTCAGTTCAGGCCCATCTTCACAGTGTGAAAGTAGCACCAGCATTTTTTTACTTTGTTATTTGTGTCAATTATTTTACTTTACTCTGTCCCAAGAAGGAGGGATATGAGATAGTCTAGCCACAAAGTCAAATATTTAATCAGTGAAACATGTTAGCTATGCCTTGTCAATAGATGAAACCTGAACAAATAAGTGGTTTCTTTCTTTGTTGTGTGTTTAATTGGAAACTTCTGTTTGACTTCATAAAGTCAAGACATCTTCCAGGATATTCCATTCTTTCCTCCTCCTTCCTTCCAACACTCATTCAGCTTTCTTGTGTCCACTAAACATGTTCAGTGAGTATTGGACTGGAAATCTACTGAATAAAATATATTTATACACCATTTCTTGAATGTCATGTCATCCGCTTACTGGGAGCCATGAGCTGGACTTACAAACCTAATTTTTTTCCCAAGAGCAGCTTCTTGGACTTTGCTTATCTCTATGTTATCTGATAACAGCTTCCCACCCACATGGGGTGGACCATTATTTTCCATGTACGGTATCTCTGCCAGTTTTAATTCAGGGGGTCAAGTTCTCGAAAACTATGTGCGTTGTCCAGATTGTGGCTGCTGCTTTCCCATTGGAAGGAAAACCAGTCATTCAGGCAGTGGTGTAACTCAAAAGGGACCACGCTAAGCTGTATTTGAACAGGGGACTCACCAAAGTGAGACGGCATCTCGATGTTTCCTTTTGCTATTTTCTAACATGCCGTATCTGTTCCAACTGTCTATACAATACATCTTCTAAGGCACTGGTTCTTAACCTTGGCTTACTCAGGAGTTTTGGACTGCAACTCCCAGAAGCCTTCACCACCAGCTGTCCTGACTGGGGTTTCTGGGAGTTGCAGTTCAAAAGCATCTGAGTAACAAAGGTTAAGAACCACTGTTCTAAGGTACCAGTGGCTTTCTGCCTTTTTCAGGACACAAAGAACACAAACTCACTGGAGTTCTGGCTAGTCTAAAACCACACAATCCCCACAGGGCTATGGGTGGGACTGCCTTCTTTTGTAACATTTTTGTTTACCTACAAATGTCTCAACTTTCCTACAAACACTTCAGATTGCCTTCTTTGTTTCTCACTAGCACTAATTTAGCTATAGTCCTGCTGACACTGAGCAAATGAGTTTGCCATTGGTGAAGAATTTAACAATATTGGTGAAGCATATAACTACATTTACCAACTGACATTTGGACCAATACTCCACTAGTAATATGAATAAATGTCACAGTTTATAATAACACTTAGGAACTATTATATGATATATTGGATGAGTGACGCAGCATATTTAATGGTTTTTTTTTTAATTTATGGATCATATACTTTGCGTGGAACAACTTTGCTACACAGCCTTATTATCCATCCACATAACTAATTTATTCCTCAGATTTTAATAGTAAATTCTGGTTTTCCTTCTGGCTTCTCCTATAAATCCTAGGATTTACAGACTGAAACATTCTTTTTGTGCAGTCAAGGGTACATTTCCACAGTTAAAACTAGTACACCAGCTGTACCCGTTGTTTCAGAAGTCTGATCTGGCCATGATGACACATGCCTTCATCAGCCCCTCGTCTCAGGAACACCTTGCCCCTTGAGATTCGCCTGGCACCCTTGCTGGGAGTTTTTAAGAACAAGCTGAAGACTAGGCTCTACAGGCTCTTCTTGGACTTTGCTTATCTCTATGTTATCTGATATCGTTTGCTTCAAATTTTGTTTTATACTCAGAATGTAAGCCACCCAGAGTAGATTCATTGCATCTAGATGGACGGGGTAAAAGCCGGAAAAATAAATAAACAAGCAAGCTCCTGTTTGGATTGTTGTAATGTGCTCTATGTGGGGTTGACTTTGAAAAGTGTTTGGAAACTTTTGCAGGTCCAGGGTGCAGTAGCTAGACTTCTAACTGGAGCTGGTTACAAGGGCCACAGGAAATCCTTGTTCCAAGAGTTTAACTGGTTGCTGGTCCATTTGCTGGTAGTAACCCTTAGGCCTTAAATGACCTGGGTACAGGCTACTTGAGGACCTGTATCTATCCACACCAGCCCCTTCCCCTGGTTTTGAAATCTTCAGAGGAGGCCTCTCTCTCAGTCCCACTGCCCACACAGACACACTTGTTGAAGACACAGGGGGACATTTTGGGTAGCTGTTCCCAGGCTATGCAACTTCATTCCAAAGGAGACCAGACTCTCACCCCATTGCCTGCATACTTCTGCCACCAAGCAGACTTGCCTTTTCAGACGAGCTTTTAATATCTAACTGGGGAAGAGATTTCAACATGAGAATTGTTATTTTATCTTTATAAAATGTGGTTTTAATATGTTTTATTTTATTTAAAATATTTTTGCCCACCATTCTCTTTGAAAAGGACTCAAGGCTGCTGACATCATTTTAAAAAATAATATATTTAATCTATTCGCAAAGGCTTTCACAGCTGGGGTCTAATGGTTGTTGTGGGTTTTTCAGGCTCTTTGGCCGTGTTCTGAAGGTTGTTCGTGCTGTCTTCTGAAGATGCCGGTCACAGAGACTGGCGAAACATTAGGAAGAACAACCTTCAGAACATGGCCAAAGAGCCTGAAAAACCCACAACAATATGTTTAATCGCTTTTTAATAATGTGATATAAATTTTTTTAAAAAATTTTAT